CGTATTTACTTAGACGTTTTGTATATTTGTAGTGATATAGCCTCTACAGATATATGGTGAAGCTTTCATAAAATTTTACTTAACCAAACTTTCGGCGGCAAAAGCAAAATGTGGGCGGCGTATACTCCTACATTCATGTTTATATTTTATTCATTTTTCCAAATTAGTGGTATTTCACTGTCGTCGCTCCCCACTTTTCACACTAACAATTTATTCTCCTCCATTTACCCCTGTTTGAAATCCCCGATATCTGCGGTATTCCGATGCTGCATCGGCAGAATTAATCAATATCATTGAATTCTGCGGATGCAGCAGATATCTCTTACTTGGTGTTTAATTAACGCCAGGATTTCTATTGATATTATTCAATGAATTTTAATTTTTTATCCTTTGCACTCAGTTACTCCTCTGTAAAGCCTACTGTTACCAAAGAACACTCAATTGACGAAGGTAGCAACTTCCGTCAACACCTTAATATACACATTAACATAAGTGTTGATGCGAAAATTTTTGCGGAAATTGCAACCTCTGTTAGTTGATGAGAGTTAGTGAAGTACCCTGCATGGGAAATCTTTCCTCTCTATAAGCTTGTTTTACAGTCGGCTTTTACTGACAGGGATCATTGGGTGCTAAGGTGAAATATATTAGTGTACTTTGCTGTCGCTATGTAACTTACACAATCAGCTGAAAGTTGGGAACTGCCTGCCCCTCTTCAGTATTCGGTAACTGTCTAGGGCCGGAACATTTTTATTGGCCTCCTAATGATTCAGTACAATTCCAATACCTCTCAGGCTGTGACCTGCGTTACGTTCAAACTTTACGGCCAGTGCCAACTACGATAATAGGACTGTAGTAAACACAGTGGGTGCTAATTAAATCAACGAAAAATAGCAAGCCGAAGGCATAAAGAAAGTAATGCACATTTCTTGTTTCGTGGCCATTTCCTTCATTTCTTCGATGCCAAATATTATATTGTTTCTCATTCAGCGTACTCCGCTCTCAGATGACTGGTGTTGCCTGAGCCATGACAGAATAGAACATCAATACATTACACCCAAATTTGATTATTTGAGAGATGGTTGGAAGAAAGGGTAATTGCTATTCGCTAACACAATTCTTGTCTAGAAAAGAAACGCCTCCTCCGGTCAAACGCCCAGAGGGAACGTAAAATCCTTCAAAGGGCTCAACTGTTTGCCCGTCGCAACAGCTTAAAGCCCACCATTCTCCCCAACCCCCCACAAGAAACTCGTAAGCCTAACTTTTCTCCCTCCATATTTCTTTTAGACATCCAGCTGGTATCTAAACAATGCCCCCTTAAAGGCTGTGATAGTTCAGGCCATCTCAATGGTTTTGATCAGCGACACATTACTCTCTCAGCTTGCCCGCTCTATCACAATGCTTC